TAAGAAAAAATCAACAACGGGTATAATAAAATTTTCATTTTTAAATATTTTAGCTTGACTAGATATGTTTCCATGAACTATTCCAAGCATTTTGATCCGTCCTTTACGTTATAAGTTCGCCCCTAATATTCGTGGAAAACACTGGTGTGGTCCGTAGGCGAATCCAGGGCGGTATCTTGGAGGAAGGGGGAGGGGGGCGATTTTTCCCCTCCCTTTCGCCACTATACAGGAGGGGGGCCCTCCTTCCGCTAATCGACTCTAAACTACGACGACGACTTGGAGGAGGGGCGAAGGGGTGACGGCGACAGGCGGTATTGAACAGAGTTTTCTACAGTAAAACAGCTGCTGCCTGAGCCCCTAAGTGAAAGGGGCAGGGGAGGAAGACCCTTTACCTCCTCCCTCCTCCGCCTGGATCCGCCAGTGGTGCGGTCTTTATTAACGGATTCTTGTGGATTTTTATTTTCATTAACGGATTCTGTTGGGAACTTTCTGAGCACTTGCAAACAGTATGGGCTGGAAGAGAATCGAATTTTCAACTTCACTGTAGCCAAGCCATTAAATCGTGATGTGTGTTAACCATTACATTACCGGTTCTTGTGCTTCTTGCAAATGCAGAACGTTGGTTGCTTGCCGATAGAAGTAGAAAACCATTTTTTCGTTCTTTTTCTTTTTCGCGATTTTTTTTGTCTTTAACACTTTTAAACGCAAATTTACTTGATTTCCAGGTGCTTGATATTGGCAAAGAGGTAAAACAACTGGAAGAAGAAAAGAACCGATTTTTGCATACAGTTGATTTTATTTCGCAACAGCAAACCGAACTTGAAACATTGGTTGTGGATCTGGAAAAATCACTCGGCCTCGGAGATTGGACAGAAATGGCACCAATCGGATTACCCGATCCGGGAATTAGTACCCATGCAGATGTGAAACGACAAGAAATGTAAGTTTAGTGAACGGGAGCTAGTGAAAATGCTAGATTTTTCTTTTCCGGAGAAAATTTAACACATAACGAGGGAA